CATGGGAGGGGCGGGGGCCAGGGTGCACATCCCCATGGCTGGGAAGGGAAGGGCGGGGCCCAGGTGTGCAGTCCCATGGCTGAGAAGGGGAGGGACAGGGCCCAGGTGTGCAGTCCCATGGCTGGAGAAGGGGAGGGTCAGGGGCCCAGGTGCACAGCCCCATGGCTGAGAAGGGGAGGGACAAGGCCCAGGTGCACAGCCCCATGGCTGAGAAGGGGAGGGTCGGGGCCCAGGTGCAGAGCCCCATGGCTGAGAAGGCGCACACACCTAGCAGCCCCGTGCCGCTGCTCCGGAGGCTCCACAGGGCCTTCACTGCGCGGCGGGCCACCCACTCGAACGTGGAGTCCCCCAGCAGCCGGCTCAGCATCCCGAACTCCACCAGCAGGGACCCGGCGCCGGCCGTGCAGGTCTCGTTATTGCTGTCGGGGGGGACGCCCGTCTTCAGGTTCACCTGCGGATGGGAGATGGGAAGAGACAGAGGTTCGTGGTGCCCAGGCAACGTCGCTCAGTGGTTGAGCGTTGACCTATGAACCAAGAGGTCACAGTTCGATTCCTGGGTTGCACATGCCTGGGTTGCAGGCTCAATTCCTGGTGTGGGGAGTACAGGGGGCAGCTGGCCGGTGATTCTCTCTCATCGTTGATGTTTCTGTCTCTCTCCCTCTCCCTTCCTCTCTGAAATCAATAAAAGTCTTTAAAAAAAAGGGGGGGGGTTGCGGCAAAACTCAAGGAACCCGCAGGGCCAGCAGGCGAGGCCCCGCCCTTAGACTGAATTTCGGTGAGTCAGCTGGCCGCCTCCGCCTCCTGCCTGGCCGCCTCTGCCTCCTGCCTGGCCGGGATCAGCAAAGACACAAAGGAGAGGCCGGTGCGGGAGACTAGGCCACTGTGCAGTCACTTACTGGTCTGCGGGAGCTCTCGGAGCTCACTCCTGCTCAGACTGGGGAGAAGGAGCCAGCGAGGCGGGACAGACCGCTCCGTCACCGTGGCGCCAGGGCCTGGCCACTCCCTGCCGGGGGCCCAAGCGGCTGACTCAAGTCCCAGGGGAGTCGTGGGCTCGGGGAATCAGACCCGCAGGGGTGGACTCTCACTCCAGGCCTTGCATTTAAACCAGCAGCAAATAAACCAGCAGCAAATGTGCTGTCTGTGCAGGCTTCACGGGGAAGCAACCGTGGGGAGCGGTCACATGACAGTCACCAGTCTCGGGGAGACGGACCCCAGGGGAAATGAAGACCCACCCCACACGGCTTGTAGCCGGGGGTATGAACCCCACCCGTGGAGGGACAATGCTGAGCCAGGAACATAGCTCCGTCCTGGGGAGGAGGATTACGGCAGGTATGTGCTGTATGCCGGCACACAGTAGGTGCTCGGTAAATGCCACAAGAATGGAAAAACGTCTACATCGTATTTAGGGCCGATTCTCTCAAAGACACAGCTGTCCCTTGTATATCAGCCCCTTTCCTCCCCCCAGATACGTTGCTAACAGAGATTTTCATTCAGGGAGACGGCGGGAGCTGGCCAGCCTACCCGGGGATAGGGAATCCCCGTCTTGGTGTTTTCAAAGGCCGGCAGGAGCCGCACGGCCAGGTCGTGTGCCATGTGCAGCAGCTCGTTGTCGTAGTCCTTGATGGTCATGTCGCCGAAGGGCTGCTTGGAGTCCGTGATTATCCGGTGGGCGGACAGGAGGCTGCCCAGGACCCTGGTGACAGGAGGGACACAGAAACGGCAGCATCACGTTGGCTGTGAACGCGCACAACCCTGTTCGAGAGACAGAGCCTGCAACCTGCCTGGGCTCGGGCCTCCCAAGGTTCTTCCCAGCCGATAAGAACCGCCTGCTCCTCATTCACTACTTTTACTGAAAGGGAGTAACGGGGCCTTCATCTGGGGGCCCCGGGGATGAGGCCACGGGAAGTAACGCCGAGGTCTGTCATCCCACCGCCTCAGCGGGGGCGGGGGCCGATCGAATGGCTCTCAGCCAACATGACCTTTATGCTAAGACATCACGCTGGTTCCCCTCACTTGGGGGAGCACGTGGCTCCTAAGAAACAGAACCGGCAACACAACACAGACGAAATCTTTTGCTCTGGCAGCCGAGCAACGATGAATTATTCTCCAACCCGTTCAAGGAGGCGAGGAAGGAGGAGACCTGCTCGCAGGGGGAGGCCCCAGGTGAGCGCTGTGTCCCCTCCAGGGATCTGAAGTGGACTGTGACTTTTTTTCAGAATGAACGCTTTCACAATTTTAATGTGACCTCTGGAATATTACGCAGTAATACAATTTCAAAAAGTTTAAATGAGCCTGGCCGGCGTGGCTCAGTGGTTGAGCATGGACCTAGGAACCAGGAGGTCACAGTTCGATTCCCTGTCAGGGCACATGCCTGGGTTGTGGGCTCCATCCCCAGCGGGGGCGTGCAGGAGGCAGCCGATCAGTGATTCTCTCTCATCATTGATGTTTCCATCTCTCTCTCCCTCTCCCTTCCTCTCTGAAATCAATAAAAACATATTTTAAAAAAAGTTTAAACGACATAGAAAAATAGTCATAATATATCGAGCTAAACAGGCAAGATACAAAACTGGGTACAGAACCCACGCCACCGTGTTAGTGACACAAACGCAAGGAGGAGCCACACCCAGAGTGTCAGCAGGGCTCCTCCCTCCGTGGTGGCAGCGGAGATGGGGCGCTCATTTCCTTCAGAAATTCCCAGGGGTTTCCCAGGACACCGCCAGGGAAGGAAGCGAGCCCAGACCCGCCTGAGAGGGACCCCCTCTCATACCTCCGTCAAAGCGCGTGTCTTTCTGGTCAGTCCAAAATGCAGTTACTCTGAAACATCAAGACTGAAGGGGTAAATGGCCAGGGCGCCACGCGGCCTCCGTGGCCTCTGCCCCGATCTCTCTGCGGAGGACCTCGCGGGAGTGGTTCCCACACAGAGGCAGCCCGCCGGCATTTCACCTGCTGTCTTACCTGATGGTGGCCTCGAAGACTTGCACGGTGGAATCTTTGTCAAATGACACGGTGTTGATCACCAACTTGACCGCCTTCTGGAACTCAGATGAATTTCCCATGATCTGTAACAGAGGGGGCGGGGCTGAAGGACCCAGGGGCGGGGCCACACCCTCCCCCGCTGCACCTGGTGAAACCCAGTGAGCTCTGGGGGCATCTCCGAGGACACCTGGCCAGCCCCGGCCTCCAACTCAGCAATCACGTCTGCAAACGGTAACACTGAGCATCGTTCCTCGGTCGCCATCAGCCCCTCCCTCCCCCTTCCCCTCACTCAGGTATCAGAGTTCCCGAATCCTGGGAACGAGGAAACACCCACCCCCAAACGGAAGAAACGAAACTGCGACCTTCCCTCCTGCTCCTCAAACACACGGACAGCTCGGAGCTGGGAGCCCGGCACCCAAACACCCGGAAACGACGGAGGCTTGGGACACAGTTATTTACGTGCGCGGAGAAATACAAGTGTTATCTTTTGGAGCAAAGCACAAGTCCAGTGACATTCAAAACAAACAAAACACAAGAGACAATCAGCTCGGTCCCTTTGAAAACATACCCTAGCCCGGCCGGCGTGGCTCAGTGGTTGAGCTCCATCCATGAACCAAGAGGTCGCTTTTGATTCCTGGTCAGGGCACATGCCCGGGTGGGGGCTCGATCCCCAGTAGGGGGCGTGCGGGAGGCAGCCAGTCGATGTTTCTCTCTCACTGATGTTTCTATCTCTCTCTCCCTCTCCCTTCCCCTTTCTCTATAATCAATAAAAACATATTTTTAAAAAGGCCTCGAACCCCGATCCCTATTGGATGCGTGGGCATGACGTCACACCAAGCTGCTCTCTCCATGAGAAGTGCTAACTGGGCACAAAACTTTTTAGATTAATCAGAAATGAAATGCCTTCATGCTGTTCAAAAGTTTACGACAGCCCTCGCTGGTTTGGCTCAGTGGATAGAGCAGACTGAAGGGTCCCCCCTGGGTTTGATTCTAGTCAAGGGGACATGCCCAGGTTTCGGGCTTGATCCCCAGTAGGGGGCGTGCAGGAGGCAGCTGATCAATGATTCTCTCATTATTGATGTCTCTCTCTCCCTTTCTCTCTGAAATCAATAAAAATATATTTAAAAAATGTTTATGGTAATCCTGGAACTGTGATGACATCGTAAGGACACACACACGAAAAACAAGGAAACACAAACCGTCTCTGAGACATATTTTTCAGGTGCCTGATTCCCGAGCATTCCCTGGTCTGCGGGCCTCTGCCCCTCGCTGTCCCTCCCTGCCACAGGCAGAGCACGTACAGGCGGCTCGGCTCTGGCCCGCACGCTCTTTCTTTGTAAAAGATGGCGCCATCGCGCTGTGGCTGCCGCCAGCCGGCCCGGCCAGGAGATCCTATCTCCCAGGGCCCAGCTGCACATCTGTGGGAGCCTCTCTGACATGTTAGCAGAGAGGAAACCTCAACAGAAGCAAAAGCCCAGCAAAGGCCGGATGTTGTACAATGGAAACCACAGAGGCCTGCTTCCTTCCAGATGTTGGGCAGCACCTCTGTCTGTTGGCAGCTGCAGCTGCCGGTCTGATCTCAGGTCAAGGGGAAGGTGAAGAAGAAGTGGCGACGGTCACTGGCCACTGCAGTCAGATCAGCCAGCAGGTCCGAGGCCCTCTCTCCGGCTGGTCTGGACGGGGGAGGAAGACGGGTCCGGACTGCGGGACTTGTCAGCGCCTCTAAGATGCCGGCGTGCGCTATGGCTCCCAGCCCTGGGACCGACGTGCAGACTTCTGCAAGTTCCCTGGGGACAGACTTCTACGTTCAAAGAGGATGCCCTTGGAGTCTGTGCTGGGAAAGGCTGGCGCAGCAGAAAGTCACTTTTGCACACACACTTGCTCTAGACGTGGAGAGTGCGGTGAATGACAAGGAGAAGGCCCTGAACAGCGGGGGATGGAGGCACGCAGGACGCGGGCGGGGCTTTCACAGCTGCGCAGGCGTCCTGAGACTTCGTTAAGCAGCACTTGTGGCTGAGTCAGCCTGTTATCTTCGACAGGTCAGTCCTCCGAGGGCTGCACGGACTGGTCTGGGCACACGGGGTGGGCGATGGCGGACGAGGGGGTGGAGTCACAGATGCAGGAGGAGATCCTGGGAGACAAGTGCTTGGCGGCCCCAGCCGGGCAGCTCCACCCGGCTCCCCCATTAGACGGCCGTGGAATGCAATCAGCTCTCCAGCTCCGGCCGTGCTGGCACCTCTCCTTCGAGCAACGCGCTGGCCGGCGCTGATGCAAACCTCGCCAGCATTGCACAACTCACTCCCCACGCTTCACCCGCTCACAAGCTCAGACCACAGGAGGAGGTGCTAAGGGCGAAGGCTTGCTGGACATGCAGGGAGAGATCGGAGCCGTCCCCTGGGAGCCGCACCAGGTGGCAGAGGCTGGGAGGCCTGGCAATGAGCACCTGCCACAGAGCTCACGCCCCACCTGCCCTGCAGCCGGTCAAAGGCCTTCTGTTCCCGGTCAATGGGGGACACAGGCAGCACGAGGGGAGCCCGTGGGTCTGTCCAGAGCACGGGCAGCGAGGACAGGCCATGGCAGAGGCCTGGGCTCAGGGCCGCACAGGGTCAGGGACTGACCAACCCTCAGGGGGTGTCTTTTCCTCCTGAAACCTTCTTTTTCCTGCTGTGAAGGTTGGGTCACTATGGGCACGAACGAAATGCTCTTTTGACTCTTGGAGGCAATAAAATAGTGAGAAACTGGGAGAAAAATAGGTTTCCCCCAAATCATCACATTTTCCCTCATTTCACCTGCAATACTTTTCTTGCTCTGGGCGTCAAGGCCATGAAAAGAAAAAACAGGTAAGGCCTGGCTGGTGTGGCTCCGTGGCTGAGCACCAACCTATGAACCAGGAGGTCACGATTCAATTCCCGGTCAGGGCACCTGCTCTGGTTGCACGCCCAGTAGGGTCATGCAGGAGGCAGCCGATCCATGATTCTCTCTCATCATTGATGTTTCTATCTCTCTCTCTCCCTTCCTCTCTGAAATCAATACAAATATATTAAAAACAGTTATGAAAGCTGGGAATATATGGTGAGTATCAGGTTTCCTGGAATCCCCATCCTGGCGGGGAGCTAGGGGTAACACCCCAAAACCTCTTGATGAATTAAAAGCACAGTGAGGCCGGGTACTTACTGCCAGCGTGTCCAGCGCGTCCACGAGCGTCAGTGAGTAATTGCCCAGGACGTCATTGATGTTCAGGTTGGAGCTGAGAGAGAAACAAAGGCGCCTGTGTTACAGGAGAAAGAAGGGCAGTGAACCCAACACCCATCAGCCACGAGACCTGCTGGCCACGCTCATGGACCCGGGACTATTCAGGGCGGGTCAGTGCGGAGGCCTTGCTCCCTCACAGGCCGTCCCAGAACAGCCGCGCCGCTGACACCATGGAGGAGGGAGTCCCCAGCGGGAGTCAGGGACGGCGCCCAGGCACCTGCCGTCTCGGGTGCCGTTTCACGGCCGTAAGCGCTCTCTCCGTTCAGCTTCAAGTAGCTCTGGCTTGAGATCCTTAGGAGCAGAGAGGGGAGCCCTGCCCGATGCCTGCCTCCAGCCTCTAGCTGGGAAGTCCGCCCCCCCAGCCGGCCACACCCAGAGAAGAGCGACCCCCCAGCGCAGTCAGCATCTCAGCGTCCTGGGTTCGGGGAACACACGAACTTCATGCCGTGCTTCACCCACACTCACCCCAAAGCCCATCGCCTCTGGAGGCTGAGAATGGCTGTGGAACGACCAGGACAGGAGCTGCGTCACTTGTGCAACACACCCCTACCCCCCTCAACACCGCTCCCCTTTCTGTTTTATTTTATTTTTTTAAATATTTTTATTGACTTCAGAGAGGAAGGGAGAGGGAGAGACAGAGAGAGAGAGAAACATCAATGATGAGTCACTGATCAGCTGCCTCTTGCACGCCCCCTACTGGGGACTGAGCCCACAACCCGGGCATGTGCCCTGACCTGGAATCGAACCGTGACCTCCTGGTTCCTAGGTCGATGCTCAGCCACGGAGCCGCGCCCGCTCCCCTTTCTGAAACCACCCGGAGACCCAGCTTCAGGGCTGCAGGGAGGCTGAGGCCGCTGGGCAGGAGGGCAGTTCTGCATAACAGGCTCTGGCAGGGACAGCAGTGCGTGCACCCGGAGGGCAGGGAGGGGGAAACAGCACTGTCTCAGGGCAGCTGGACAAGGTCTGGGCTCAGGGATTCTCTGTCCCATCCCCCAACCCAGAGAGGAACCACAGAAGCTGGAAAAGGTGGAATCCAGGGGGGAAACCGGCGACTGTTTAAGGACCAGAGTGAGAGCCCAGTCTCATCGTCACTGGTGTCCTGGCATCTCCCATCAACCCCACACCAGGTTCCCTCCTCCTGGGACACGCGATGGGGCCTGACCAGAAGCAGGAGGCCGCTCACCGCTCACCACGCCCTCTGGTCTCAAGCCCCCCGCTGCTGTGCCTGACCTGTTCTGCCACTTAACCTAGGACAGACCCACAGCAAGGCTTCAGGCCCAAGTCTTATCTCTATCTACCTTCCTCCTTATCTACTTATCTAAATCCTCACCCAAAGACATGTTTCCATTGATTTGAGAGAGAAAGGGAGAGAGAGATGGTTGCCTCCTGTACAAACCTCAACAGGGGATCGAACCTGTAACCTAGGTATGTGCCCTGACTGGGAATCGAAACCTCAACCTTTTGGTGCACAGGACGATGCTCCCACCACCTGAGCCGCCCGGCCAGGGCTGGGTCTGTTGTTAAAAACGAGCTTGTGCAGAAGGCTGTCTAGGCACCGGGCCATCTCGTCCCTCACAAGCCAGGAACCAGACGCCACACGGCCGAGGGACGCTGCTGCCTGCTTCCGCTGCGTCCACGCTCTGTGAACGTCCAGGATCGCAGACGGTCCTCCGCAGACGGGAGCCGGGGTTACAGCAAGCCCCTCGAGGGCATGCCTCCGAGAGGCACACGTGTGCAAAGGTGGAGGTCAAGGCAGGCAGGGACATGCTCAGGTGCAGCCTGCCGACCCAGACTGTTGGGCGTCGATGCTGAGCCACACGGCTCTGCTGCTCAGAAACCGAGAGGCCTCCAGCCACCCACCCCCTCAGAAACGGTCCCTCTCCCCTTGGCATCCAGCTAGCGAGTCCTACGGACCTCCCTGGCCACCCGCGCAGCGTGGAAGGCCCTCCCATGCCCATCACTGTCCACCGTCCCAGGTCTTATTGTGGCTTTCCTCCCAGGCTACAACTAAAACCGGCCCAGTTTTATTTTATTTTTTATTGATTTCAGAGATGAAGGGAGAGGGAGAGAGAGATAGAAACATCAATGATGAGAGAGAATCATTGATTGGCTGCCTCCTGCACGCCCCCCACTGGGGATCCAGCCCGCAACCTGGGCATGTGCCCTTGACCGGAATCGAACCTGGGACCCTTCAGTCTGCAGGCCGACGCTCTATCCACTGAGCCACACCAGCAAGGGCCGGACCCAGTTTTAAAATACTTTTGGATCCAATGTCCAAGCTGTCACTACAATGAACAATAACACGTTGTTACAGTGCAAACACGTGCTCGCAATGACCGGGGTGGTCCCTTCTCGCCACTCAGTCCACTCAGAGATCTAAGACGTTCGTTCAAACTTTTACTTCTTTTCTATTGAATTGCTGTCCACCAGAAAACCAAGATGGCGGCATAGGTAAACACCGGAAATTGCTGCCTCGCACAACCACTTCAAAAATACAAATAAAAGATAAAACAGGTATCATCCAGAACCACAGGAAGGCTGGCTGAGTGGAAATTCTACAACTAGAAGGAAAGAGAAAAGCACACTGAGACTCAGAGGAGGTGCGGTGTGGAAGTAAAGTGCAGAGGTACGGAGGCGCACGCAGAAAGGGCTGGCGGCTGAGGACACGGTTTGTCTTTTTCAATCGGGAGGGAGTCTCAAGCTCCCGACTGCTCTGAACTCCAGTTCTGGGCAAGTCTCTGGGGACCCAGACTCATACGGGGAGAGGCGCTGGCTAGACTGTCTGGCAGCGGTCGGACCTCAAGGGCGGCTTTCTCTCAGAGGTGCTTGCAGCGATTACCGGGACACTGATTACCGGGACACTGAGAAGCGGGGCCTCTTAGGGCAGGACTGAGGAGCAGCCATAGCTGCTTGCTCCGCCCTGTTGATCCCCTGGGACCCCGCCCTGCCCAAGCTGTGCGCAGGCTTTTGCATATGAAAGGCCTGGCCCTTTGCAATCTGAAAATTACCTAACAAACTGCAGCTGGCCCAAGGCCCCACAGCAGCTTGCATTCCTTCACAGCTGGCTCCTGCTGGGTAGCCTCAGGCAGAGGCTAGATTAGCACCTCCTTAGAGATACAGGAGCCAGTGTGCCCGGTGGTCAGAGTGGGACCATCCAATTACAACTCCTCAGATCCATAAGGGACACACTCAGGGGGCAGACTCAGTGAGCACCAAAGCCCCACTGAAGCAAGTCTTGGCCCAGAAGGGTGTCTCCAGCACAGAAGTTCTCCCACTGCAGACACAGCTGATTCTCACAGCCAGTTGGCCTGGAGGTCAATTCCTCCCAGTGATACCTACAACAATCAAGGCTTAACTACAACAAGACTGTGCACAAAGCCCACAAGGGGGTGCACCAAGAGTGTCCACCTCAGGTAATTGGGGAGGCTGAGCCACTGGGCCCTATAGGACACCTAGCACAGAAAGCCACTCTATCAACACAGGGAAGCATAAAAAATGCGGAGACAAAGAAACAGGTCACAAATGACAGAAATGGAGGAAAGCAAACTACTGGATATAGAGTTCAAAACCACACTTATAAGGTTTTTCAAGAATTTTCTAGAAACTGCCGATAAACTTAGTGAGACACTCAAGAAATCTAGTGAGACCGCCGATAAATTTAATGAGAGCCTCAATATGTCTAGTGAGACCCTTGAGGTTGTGAAAAAGGACCAACTAGAAATTAAGCATATACTGACTGAAATAAAGAATATTATACAGACTTCCAACAGCGGACCAGAGGATCACAAGAATCAAGTCAAAGATCTGAATTACGAAGAAGCAAAAAACACCCAACCGGAAAAGCAAAAAGCAAAAAGAATCCAAAAATATGAAGATAGTGTAAGGAGCCTCTGGGACAACTTCAAGCGTACCAACATCCGAATTATGGGGGTGCCAGAAGAAGAGAGAGACCAAGATATTGAAAACCTATTTGAAGAAATAATGACAGAAAACTTCCCCTACCTGGTGAAAGAAATAGACTTACAAGTCCAGGAAGCGCATAGAACCCCAAACAAAAGGATCCAAAGAGGACCACACCAAGACACATCATAATTAAAATGCCAAGAGCAAAAGACAAAGAGAGAATCTTAAAAGCAGCAAGAGAAAGAAACTCAGTTACCTACAAGGGAATACCCATACGACTGTCAGCTGATTTCTCAACAGAAACTTTGCAGGCCAGAAGGGAGTGGCAAGAAATATTCAAAGTGATGAATACCAAGAACCTACAACCAAGATTACTTTATCCAGCAAAGCTATCATTCAGAATTGAAGGTCAGATAAAGAGCTTCACACATAGAGAAAAGCTAAAGGGGTTCATCCCCCCTAACCCAGTTTTAACTGAATTCCCGAAAGGTCCCCTTTAAGACGGGGAAGAAGAAGAAAAAGGTACCGTTTCAAATTATGAACAACAAATACACATCTATCAACAAGTGAATCTAAAAATCAAGTGAATAAATATTCTGATGAACAGAATAAACTGGTGATTTTATTAAATGGAATCAGGGCCATTGAAAGGGAGTGGGCTGCCTTTCTTTGGGGGGGAGGGGTGTGGGGGGGGTGGGAAGAGACTGGACAAAAAAGGTACACCTTTGGATGAGTTTTGGGGGGGGGGGGGGGCGGGCGGTAAGGGCAGAGGGTGGGGTGGGAACCGGGTGGAGGGGAGCTATGGGGGGAAAAAGAGGAACAACTGTAATAATCTGAACCTTAAAGATTTAATTTAAAAAAAAAAAATTGCTGTCCACGCTTTCAAAATGTGCCAGAATAGAAAAAAGAGCACTGGGACACTGGGGGGATGAAGGAAGCAGCGGGCTCCACACCCCTCGGGCCGCTCAATGGTTAGAGCCACGGCCCGCGCACAGAAGGGTCTTGGGTTCGATTTTCAGTCAAGGCGATGCAGGTTCAATCCCCGATCCTGGTCGGGGTGCGTGCGGCAGGCAACCAATCGATGTGTCTCTCTCCCATCGATGTTTTCCTCTCTCTCT